GTTGAAGATCCTGTCCGAAGCGTTATAGGGGGGGGGGGGAAGAGTAAAGGACCTGCTTCTCTCAAGGAGATGTAAAGAAAACATAGTAAGAGCTATTCAGTTATGACTGAAGTAAGCTTTGATGGTCGGACAGAGATTTGCACAAGAGATCCAGGTATACGTGCTATTGGCGATTGCATGTGCTGCACTTTGTGCGTTCTGTTCCCAGCCTCAGCCAAAAAGCCCCTTACCCATGGTGTCAACAATGAGATCCAGCTGCCCATTATAGACTGTAACGTTGACATTCGCTGCCAAAAGCTGATCAACAATATCAATGACTGGTTTCATGAAGTCCTCAGCCATGTTTATGAAGACTTCTTTGGACTGACCTAGTTGGAGCCAGAAAGAGAAAAAAAAAATTAACTGATAGAATGTCATACCCAAGGCAGGACACAAGCAACTAGGCAAGGGTCCTGGCTTATGGCTGCATAAAAGCAAGCCCTAGCACAGAGCAGCAGCCAGTGATTTATCAGTCTGAGGAACTAGAGAACCAGAAACCAACCACGCTCCCACTGCAGCTCACACATCGCATTGTCATTTCTGGCTCCCATTGCACACACAAGGGAACTTGCATCCATCCCTTAACCCTTCCTTTCTGTTTTATACCCCTCCCTCCACACCACACAGCACTACATGATACCAGCTTTCTGGCAGAGAAAACTGACAGGAATTCTTCCATCAAGGCAGAGCAATGGACAGAAATCAGCTGCTGAAACACAGGGGATCATCTTCCTCCCTCTGCATTTTTTTTAGCTGCTAGGCTAAAGAGAGATACAAACACCACAAATGGAAGCAGAACTATGGCTGCTCCTACTGCTGTTAAACGCTCATTTCTGAGAGCACATCCTCCTCTTAGGCCCAAGGATAATGACAATTTAATGTGACTGCTTACTACAGACATCAAAGTATCTTCCTACAGATCGCGACACTGTGGAAGCAATATGGCACTTATTAGATTCATGCTAGAAGACAGGAAAGTACCTCCCCATTTCACACAGTCTGGAATAATTTTTAGCTTCTTTCTGATAGGTCCATTCATCAAATCGTTTAGGCTGTCCTTATGCATATTTTTGACATGGCGTTGATAAAGTCTAACTGAAAAGAAAGAAAATGCTTTGATTAGTGGCATATTTAATACAGTCATCCTGCAGAGATAACAATTTTCAGTGTTATAGTCACATCCAACAAACTCCTTCCTAATGGAGATATAAAACCACAGAGGAAGATTCGCTTATTTCTAAAATGCAAGCAGTAGAAACCACTGAAGTCAGCCCTTATTTAGGCTAGACGATAATATGGGAAGAGCCCAACTATCCATTTCTAGTTTTGGTTAATAATGCACTTTTTTCAGGGGATCAACTTCTGATTTAGCTGCCTGGCACAGATAATTTCTTCTCAACAGACCAGTTTTGAGCTGCAATGTCTTTTACTTCTGGGAATAAACTGTGCTGTTCACCTTCCCTACTGAAGCTAACAGACACAGAACAAGAACTAAAAAAAAACCAAAACAAAACAAAACACCCCCCAAAATTTGTTTACTTTCATGCTCATACATAAGCATCAAGGAGCAAAAAAGCCTAATCGGACTACTTGCATGGACGAGACATTTTCGTGTCCTACCTTGAAGATAGAAATCAAAGACATTAAGAGAAGTAACTTAGAAGTCACAAAACTATGCAGCAATTACACTAACTAATTCCTCAGAGTAATGCATGTAGGATGTATAGGTGGAGGTATAATCTACAGAAGGGTTGTTCCACATTCCTAATTATCTCTATTTATGCAAGCACAAGCAAGCTCTCTTCAGGAGAATATCAACATCCTTTAGATTTGAAGGCCCCATTTTAAGGATGTGCTAAATTGAGGCTGTATCAGAGTTGGAGCTATGGGAATGCAAATACAGAGCTCTCTTTCTCAAGTTCTTAAATACAACTTACTGAGATGCAGATTTTCTTGTTCGCTTGCTTTGATTTCTGGAACATCCTTAGTCATGATGTTATAAAAGTTCACATTGTCTGTGTTCTGAAAGCACAAAATAACTTCAGTAACACTGTAATAAAAACGTTTCTCAGATAAGAGGAACAGACTCCCTTCTGAAAAGAGATTAGTACAGACCCTGCAACCTGCCTCTTTGCCTACCTAAATATCTCAGGAAGATATTTAGGGAACAACTTTGGTTCTATATTTGCTTTGAGAAGTGGGGAAGGGTTTTCTCAAGTCTTCATTGTTCACATGTTGGTGATGCTACAGATGTTACTTACTTCGCTTAAACGGATGTGAAGCTTCAGAAAGTCCCACACCCTGCAAATGGCTGTAGATTCACACCGCTCACTACAGAGAGAGCTTCAGTGCTGGATGATGCTCTCAGATGCTCTGTTCTGCTAGATCTGGCCCGATAAAGCTTGTTGCTCAACATCCTCCTAACTTGCAATTTTCAACAACCCAAACGCTTCCTCAAGAGAGCGGTGACTGGTATCGGTCATCCCTCTGTTGGGACTGCTGACATTTGGACAGGTCCAAGAATCGTGGACTGGCAGCTCTGATCCAGACAGCAGACTGCCCCCATCCAAAGTAAAAAGTGTGATTGGTGTTTCCATTGGAGAAGCTACTCAAGATTTTTGAAGCTCCCCTTTACTCAATTTCTGAATCTTTAATGTTCTGAAGGTCAGAAATCAGCTTGCAATAACAAGCCAAAAGGAACTGAAGTGCTTGCACCCTTATGGCTGTATCGCAGCTGGGAAAGACAGACAGACTTGAAGAGAAAGGCAAAACAGGAACCAGAAGTTCCTTCCAAAGTTCAACAGTAAGAAGTGAAACCAACCATGTGCAAAGCACTGTCAGTCACAAGACAAAACAAAAAAGAGGGAGAGAGTGAGAGAGAAGAGGAAGCAGTTCTAGGATTAATCTTTCAGTTTTAGGAAGCCAGAGCCTTACTTGTACTAAAACGCAGAGAAAGAGAGATTTTGTAGCAACCCTCGAACAGGAAAGATAGGAGTAAAAGTGCACTCAATTTTAAGCTGGAACTTGGTTAAGTAACAAGATGCAGTTCTGTACAATAACAGGACATTACTTGAAGTTCTTTCTGTCTTATGCTCCTATTATACTTCTTCAAATAGATCTATGTTAACTTCAAATTATTATGCCTCTTGCTGGAGGCAGTTTTCAACATTCAGGACGTACAGCTTTTAAGGAGACATGGCTCATTTAAGTTCAAACTTTTAGTCTGACTGTGGTGTGCAGTGAGCAGACAGCTCTTTTGCATCAGCATCGTCATAAAACGCGTACAGGCAGAGATGAGGGGACAGGGAGATGGAGGACGCAAGCCCATCCAGTGCTCATAGCAAAGTGTAACCTGAAGTTGTGTACCTCTACAAGCACCAGTTACTTACTAACATTGGTTGAAGAAGATCTCACCTCTTCAATGATACCTTCAGCCTTGCTCCAGAGCTCAGTGGCCAGTCCGTATTGTTTTTCGTTTATTGCAACCATTACCTCTTTGGCAACAGCAGTCACCTCTGCTAGACCTTGATCATCAAGGAGAGACTGGAGAACAAACACAGAGGAGGACAGCTTCAATTATAATTCAGTGCTAATTTCTCACTAACAATCTTCACGCATTAGGGTTTTTATACTGACTAGGAGCTGACCTTAAAAAAGTCCATTTATACTATAAGGCAGTACAAGTTCTAAGGTGAACACCAGAGAACCAGAGCAGTGAATGCAAACAGGGGAGTTTAACAAGGTACTTACGGTGCTATAAAGGTAGGGCCCCCAAGACAGCACAGAATCTAGAGAAACAGAAAAGATTTCAAACGTCTAAATTTCTGCAAGAGAGTTTTCCTTTACTTTCCTTTTATCATAGCAAGATACACAAGCAAGAACAACTGTGACAAAAAGCTTATGGAGATGAACTACCCAGTAAAAAGGTACTGTCAGCTCAGCTTAGCCCAAAGTTTATATACCCCAGAATAGGCTCTTTTTAAATCCTGAGAACCAATAAAACAGCCACAATGCCATTAACTCCCTGTACATCAATCAGTGAAATTTGAAGCAATCGACAGACACTCTTACCAAAGTGTTTTGAACTCCAGTACTGCCGCACAGTGCTAGCACATGGGGATATATCTGACAAGGCAATGGGCATTGTCTAATCTCATCTATTTGCAAACATTACAGAAAAAAAAACCCTCGCTATAAAACAAATTTTTAAAGATAATTTACAAAGTCTCAAGGATCAGTTGATCCTTCTAAGATAGGCAGGAGTTAGCTTGATGCTGTCTCATGCCCCAGACAGTCTCTGGAGGCTGCCCTTGCAAATTGCACTGGAGGGCCAAGAATCCTTAAATTTGTTTTTTTGTCCTTCAGCAGACACACACCCTATCTCCTCCATATCAGTAGGCACATCAGTTCCCAGCGCAAGGCCTTCTTGTGAAAACAAACACACACTTCAGTTGCAACATTTGGTGGCAACATTAAGTGAAGCCCTCTCATAGCAAAACACTTCAGAGGCTGCAGAGATTTGTAGGGACATTTTGCTACCGCCCCACTTCAGATGCGAGTATGCTCCTCACTGACTTTGTTCTCAGAGCTTTCGTAATCTGGATGTGTTCTAAAGGGAGATCTCTTCAGTCACAGCTTGCAATGTTTAAATATTTCTTTTTGGTGATTTGATTTACCGGGCTCACTAGAGATTTAATTCATGGCTGGCATTTTTTGACTCAGATACTCATGGAACAATTAAAACAAACAAATAAACCAACCACACATACACACACAGTCTGAAGATTTTGAACATACCTAGAGGAGAAATCCACGAGTCTCCAAGAGCAACCCCAACAAAATTGCATTTTATGCTCCCCTTTTGGACAGCCTTGGCACATCAGAGAAAACAAACAAAAAAACAGCCTTTACTTAGATGTCCACGACTCTAGAACTTAGATCTCCTTAAGTACTTGTAGGATACCACATTTTTAAGTGAAAAATGCACTAGATCCTCCAACTACTTACCTCATGCAACTCTAAAGCAACGCCAGCAGCCATTTTCCCTCCATAAGATTCAGAAAATATGTAGAATGGGATGGTCTGGAGAGAGAAGACAATAAACCCATTAGGCCCAGGGCACAACAAACCCCCTCTCCACCCCCTATCCAATGGCCCACAGACCCTGGGCTCTGGCTCTTCGCCTCCCAGAACGAAACACCGAATGTTTTCTGATTCTGACTTGCAAGATGAGATTTCTACAACTTCCTGGTGTAATTACTGGGGAAAGTTTTGAAGCAGGCACTTCAGTATTTTGGAATTAAAAACATCCCTGGTCCTACATGCTCCTCTGATAGCAATGGACACAATAATCCACCCCTTTGCTCATCTAACTGCCTCCCAAGACAGCAATTTGAGATACCACTTTTGAGTTGCGGGAAACAGAGGGCGCTGGTTATACCTGCGGTACCTCCCACCAGCTGTGGGCTACCTAGTAGCAAACAGTGCCCATCTAGAAGGCTGTTCACGCCCTCTTTCTAGCTTTCTTTTGAGATCTGCCTAAAAGCAAAGAAAAATGTGAGACTATCCAAGAATTCAAATCACTTACCTGGAATTCTGTCCTAGACTTGAAGAATTCTCCAAGAAAAACCATCATATCGGAGACTACTGCAGTAAGGTTTTTGGCAAACAAGCTACAGTCATCTACATAACTGAATCCAGTACCCACAGGATTATCCACAAACAGGATACTGGCTGCCTGCAACTGTACAAGCAGAAAGAAGGGTCGCATGAAATCTCAGGTCAGCTACCAGCAGAGCGTAGGTGCAGACTTTGGTTTTGACGGCATAAACGTCTGAGCCATTGACTCTCTGATTATGAAATGACTTGCAGAAAAGTGAAGTGCATGTCTAACATCAGAGAATGGTACGGGGGCACTTTTGTCTGTTAGAATGTGAAGGAAGAAATTAAACAATGAGTTTTTCTTTTGGGTGCTTTTGTCAAATTGCTACAGGAAATGCTTAGTTATACACTTACAAATGTACAAATAAAACCAATATATCAGCACAGAGAGGGCTAACATGGCTCAAAGCAGAAAGAGCTCATAAATAAAGTACAACATAAGATCTTTTGATTTGCCCAGTCTGCGAAAGAAAGGCACCCATCATCCAAAGGCACCCATCACCCAGATGATCCAGAGAAACACAGACTAATACAGGCATTAGACGACTGGTTGCGCAGAGCACGCAAACCTTCTGGTGAATAAACCTCTAACTTCACCGACAGCTGTAATTTGGTGTCCCTTGAAGGCCATACTGGACTCATAGTTGGAAGCCACTGCTTATACGCCCGTAAGCTATGATCTGAAATAACATCTTTCTAGAATTTCCCTATTTTCAGTTTCCCAGCCATTTGCAATTCACAAATTTATGCAAGCCCAGATAGTCTCCGAATCAAATGAATAGGCCTATTCTTCGTTTCTTAGCAAGACTATTTGGATAAGCCATTTTACTGACCACATTATTTCAAGATGAAATATCATAGTTCTACTGAGTTTAAAATGAAAGCTTTTTTGTGGGCATTTTTGCTTAGCAATCACCTGCTTGCCCAAGCAATAAGCATGCCTTTCAGTGAATAATTAGAAGCTGAACTCTTTGCTATACCCAGGTTGTATTTCTTGGTTTCATTTCTTTGTCTAATGGACCAATCTCTTCAAAGTTTCCAAATCCACAGCCTGAAGATCCTGGACCTCCCTAAGGGGGGAAGATAAGAAGTGAGGAATAAGTTAAAAGGCAGCATGGTATGGATATGAGAGACAGGAGAATAAAAGCAAACCAGTAGAATGACATATTTTAAAATAAAAAAATATCTTTTGCACTACATGCTCATTTCCAAAGAAGGCTTTCTTCCTCCTTTTCTTTCATTATGTGTACACATGCTATTTCTGAAGGCAAAGATGTAAGAGGGAAGCAATGACCCATTTGTGAAAGCATCTAATGAATCACCTTATGCAAGTGCAGTTTGAAAACCGTTCCCCTTATTCCCTTCATAAGGGATGCAGAAGTTAGCTATATGCCAATGGGTGCTAGCTACCGCTTTTAATCAACGTGTACAGCATATGCCTTTCACTCCAAAGGAATAACCCAGAAGGAGAAAGACCAAGTCATTTTCTGATTATATTCAGCATTAACTCCTGAAGTGTACTGCTGGAGGTGAACGTGGAGCACATATCACTGCTTCTTATCACCCGCAATTGAACGAGATCAAGCTCTAAACAATCAGTCTCCCTTACCTGCTTTCATATACCAAAGTTCCTAAATCTCTAATCACTTTATCTACTCTTGTAAGCTGTTGACGCGATAGAAGGTGAGCAGCTGAGGGCCCCCCACAAGCACGGATGGTATTTTCGCTATGCCTCCCTGACCGGAGCACCTCGCTCACTAGTCAGGAGTCACCCAGAGTCAGACGACCCTCAGCGCTACCTCTGCGGAGCTGCAGGAGACCCCTCACGCTGAACCGGGCGCGGAAGAAAAGGCCCCTCCCCCCAGCCCCCCCCCCCAGCCACAAGACGAGAGGCAGCTTTGTGAAGTCCTCGGTGGGGCCGTCGGCGTAGTAGAGCCACCAGAACATGTGGGCCTTGTTTCGCACTTGCACGTAGCCCCACAGCTCCTTGGGCTCTCGGGACTGCTTCCGTACCGCACCTGGAAACCACCAGAGACGGAAGGAAGGAGGGAGCTGGGCACCAGCGGATCAGCTGCCGGCTCGCCCCCAGACCGGCGCCCGGGGCGCGGG